TCACTGCCGCCGTTGGAGTCTGCGCACTGTCTACCTACTACCTGACCCTCTCTCTCTCTCTCTCTCTCTCTCTCTCTCTCTCTCTCTCTCTGCAGCCTTTACCGTTCACCCTTATCCCCTCACCCCCCCCCTCATGAAAACGTCTTCCTCGTAATCACTAGTTCCATCTTTCCTCCTCTCTCCCTCACTCTCCCTCACTCTCCCTCACTCTCCCTCACCGACTCACAACATTAAGAATATCCACATTTTTGCTGCACTCATTTCATCACTGTCATCCATCCACTGTCAATCATCCAATGTCATTCATTCACTGTCAATCATCCATCAGACATCCACTGACAATCCTCCACTGTCATCCATCCACTGTCAATCATCCACTGTCATTCACCCACTGTCAATCACCCATACCCACCCTCTGTCACCCACTGTCATTCACCCACTGTCAGTCATCCACCATACACCCACTGTCATTCATCCACTAGACATCCACTAACAATCACCCACTGTCATTTACCTACTGTCACCCACTCTCAATCATCTACCATACACCCACTGTCATTCATCCACTATCAATCACCCATACTCACGCCACTGTCACCCACTCTTAATCACCCACTGTCACCCCTGTCATTCACCCTGTCACACTGTCCACCCTGTCACCCCACTCATTCACCCACTATCACCCACTGTCATTCACCCAGTGTCACCTACTGTCAGTCATTCACCATACACCCAGTGTCATTCTTCCACTATCGATCCCCCACTGTCAATCACCCATACTCACCCACTGTCACCCACTGTCATTCACCCACTGTCACCTACTGTCAGTCAACCACCATACACCCACTGTCATTCACCCACTATCGATCCCCCACTGTTAATCACCCATACTCACCCACTGTCATTCACCCACTGTCACCTACTGTCAGTCATCCACCATACACCCACTGTCATTCATCCACTATCGATCCCCCACTATCATTCACCCACTGTCAATCACCCATATTCACCCACTGTCACCTATTGTCAGTCATCCACCTTACACCCAGTGTCATTCTTCCACTATCGATCCCCCACTATCATTCACCCACTGTCAATCACCCATATTCACCCACTGTCACCTATTGTCAGTCATCCACCTTACACCCAGTGTCATTCTTCCACTATCGATCCCCCACTATCATTCACCCACTGTCAATCACCCATATTCACCCACTGTCACCCACTGTCAGTCATCCACCATACACCCACTGTCATTCATCCACTATCGACCCCCAACTATCATTCACCCACTGTCAATCACCCATATTCACCCACTATCACCCACTGTCATTCACCCACTGTCAGTCATCCACCAGACATCCATATCACCCTCCTATAACGCACCCCTTGGCTAAAATGTTGTCTAAATGCAAGAACGATATTGCTACCTAGAATTTAAAGGGGATAAGACCAATTTAAATGGTCGTTCGACTCACTTTGTTACACCAAGTAAAAGCTGTATCCAGTTCATGTCTGTTTGGTCTGTGTTTTTGGTTTGTTTTTTATTCCGTTTGTTTTTGTTGCTTTTTTTTATTAAGATTTGAGTATTATATTTTTTGGGGGGAGTTTGTGTTTGTGTTTGTGTGTTTGTATGTTTATATTTGTCTTGTCTGTTTTTTGTCTTTGTCTTATCTGTTTTTTGTGCTTTTGTCTGTCTGTCTGTCTGTCTCTCTCTCTCTCTCTCTCTCTCTCTCTCTCTCCTCTCTCTCTCTCTCTCTCTCTCTCTCTCTCTCTCTCTCTCTCTCTCTCTCTCTCTCTGGATTTATATTAATCTCTCCTAACTCTCCACTAAATCTCTACTGGAGTAAAGCTCTCTCTCTTTCTTTGAATCTACATAAACCTCTCTCTCTCTCTCTCTCTCTCTCTCTCTCTCATCTCTCTCTCTCTCTCTCTCTCTCTCTTACCATCTCATAAACCTCTCTCTCTCTAGAAAGTGAAAAGATACTACCATTTAGGTGAGTTGTTGAAATTTGTGCAGCAGTTTAGTGAGCAGCTGAAATGAAATGGATAGCGTTGGTCTGATGCAGCTGAGGGACGATGTTGGAGCCCGGGTACAGAGAAAGAAAAACGCTCTCTCATTCGGTCTTAACCTACCAAAATTAATCGAGGTGACATTAAGTGAATTTCTTAGTAGAGCAGAACTTCTTCTTCTTCTTCTTCTTCTTCTTCTTCTTCTTCTTCTTCTTCTTCTTCTTCAAACACACACACACACACACACACACACACACACAGGTCATTTTCTTAGTTTATATTGATTCCGTCAATTTGTGAGGCTGTGACGTCACCGTTAACGTGTCGGCATGATGGTGACGCTGACGAGAATACGATCGCCTTGATTACGGTAGCGCTGGCGAAGGAGTTTCATTGGGTATAGATTCGAATAAGCAAACCCCGAACCGCGAATCGAACCTTGAACCCGGACTCGGAGCCGGATTCGGATCTGAAACCGAATCCGGAACCGAATCGAAATAAGAAAATATAGAACAAAATACAAAAAAATAGATAATAAAAGGACATGAATAAGAAAAATAGAATAAAAGATAAAACAAACAAAAAACATTCATCCAAGACTCACAACACGAAGCCATCAAACACTTCACCTGTCGAAGCTTAACTAACTCATTACCTGATTACACCTGACTTGACTCTCACGCGCTCAACTTGTCAATTGGTCGTTGGATTCATGTAGTTACCTGTTGTTACGATTCCTATAAATGATTCATAGATATTGGCGTTTTAATTGGCGTCTGAACTTCCTTGTTAAATGGTGTCAAACGCCCCCTTATCTGAGCGAGGGGAAGGGGGATTTGAGGGGGTGTGGCGGTGGGATGGTAGTGAAAGGGGGAGATGATGGTGTGGGGTGAGGAGGAATGATGGGAAGGAGGATTTTTATTGGAGAAAGGAATAGGTGGGGAGATTGAAGGTGACAGATGTAAGGTTGTGAGAGGAAATGAGATATATAGGTGGGGGTGAGGAAACAATAGGTTATGGGTAGAGTGAGAGGGCAATATGGGTTATGGGTGAAGGGGAGTGAGGAGAGGGCAATATGGGTTATGGGTGAAGAGGGGGAGTAAGAAAGGGGACATGAGGTGAAGGGGTGAGGGGTGAGGTATAAGAAATGAAGTGAGAGGAAGACGATGAAGAGAGGGGAGATGACGATGATGATGTGAGAGGTAAAGGAGGAGAGGAGGAGGTAAATGAGGAGAGTAGGTGGTAAGAGGTAAAGGAGGAGAGGAGTTGAGAGGTAAAGGAGGAGAGGAGGAGTTGAGAGGTGAAGGAGGAGAGGAGGTGGTAAGAGGTGAAGTGTGTGTGTGTGTGTGTGTGTGTGTGTGTGTCACAGAGAGTAAACAACTACAAACACTGCACCAAACAAGAGAGGCAATGATGAGGAGACTGGCTGGGGTGTTGTGTGTAGGTAATATAGAGGGAGGGAGGGAGAGAGGGAGGGAGGGAGAGAGGGAGAGAGGGAGGGAGAGAGGGAGGGAGGGACTGTGTGTGTGTAATAAAGCAACTAACAGAGTGGAAATGAGAGAGGGAAGAAGACTTTGTGTTTAATAAGAATCTTAGATGAGAGAGAGAGAGAAAGAGAGAGAGAGAGACAGAGACAGAGAGAGAGTTGATGAATAAGGGAGAACGAAGGGAAGATGAAGGAAGGGTGGAGGCAGGGAGAAGGAGAGAGGGGCAGGAAATCCATAGAGGAGGGAAGAAGGGGGAGTGAATCCGTGAGGGAGGGAAGGAGGAGTGAGGATGGAGGAGGAGGAGAGGAGAAATCCATGGTGAGGGGAGGAAGGAGGGTGAGGATGGAGAGGAGGGAGGGAGGAGGAGAGGAGGAGGAAATCCATGAGTGAGGGAGGGAAGGGAGGGAGTGAGGATGGGGAGAGAGGGAGGAGAGGGAGGAGTGGAAATCCATGGTGAGGAAGGAGGAGGAGGAGGGAGAATCAAGAGTGAGGGAGGGAAGGGAGGGAGTGAGGGATGGAGGGGAGGCGAGATGATATATATAAGGACCCACAAATTTCTCAGGGCTTGTGACGTCACTGTATCTCTCATTATGTGTCTGTGTCTCTACGTATCTCTGTATCTTTAAGTATCTCTAATTTGAGGAAACAAAAGGAAAAAGGAAGATTTTTTCATTATTTTTTCCAAGGGGCAAAATAGGTGAGGAGGTGCAGTATATCTCGACGGGAGGAGGAGGAGGAGGAGGAGGAAGACGAGGGGGAGGAGGAGGAGGAAGAGGAGGAGGAGGAGGAGGAGGAGGGAGGGAGGAAGAGGAGGAGGAGGAGGAGGAGGAGGGAGGGTCTTCCTTCCTCATTAGGATGGCGCACTTCCAAGACGCCCCCCTTCTGGAGTCACCACTTGAGTGAAGGGGTTGGAGGCTGGCTGGTACTGACACTCAGGAGGGGGGCGGGGTGAGGGAAGGAGGGAAGGAGGGAAGGGGGGAAGGAGGGAAGGAAGATATACTTACTAATTGCAAGGGATTATAATTACTTCGTCTAACCTAACCTAACCTAATTCGACCTTATGTAAGCGAGGTACGTACACACACACACGCACAGACACACACACATACACACACACACACACACACACACATCTCTCTCTCTCTCTCTCTCTCTCTCTCTCTCTCTCTCTCTCTCTCTCTCTCTTTCTCTCTCTCTCTTTATCCTGCCTAATCTTCCTCTCCCTCACCTCGCTTTTCCCTTCTTTGTTTTTGTTCTTCTTATTTACATTCTCTTTATGCCTCTTTCTTCCTCTTTATTATTTTCCTCTTTTAACTCTCCTCTATTGTGTATCTCCCTCGTTTCCTCTCATTCCCTGTTTCGTTTTTATCCCCATTTGTTCGTTTCCTTTTGTTTCCCCTTTTATGTTTTCTATTTTGGCTCCGTTTTCTTTTTAGTCTTCCTCCGTTTGTTTTGGCTCTTGTTTATTGTTTATTTTTATCATCTTTTGTTTCGTAGTTG